GCTGAACGTCAGTAGCTATTTGAAGTTGATTCAGCTTCCTCTGCAAACTTGTCTGCAATGCAGAGTCTTAATTTACGAATTCTTGATGGCATTGAGCTGTTCATCAATTTGTTTCTGAATGATTTCTACTTTAGACATCTCCTCTACTGTACATACAGAGCTGTTAACACCCCTGTTAATATAGGAGACTGTTTGATTTTGATAAACATGTCAATCTGTCAGTTGATTTAGCTTCCTCTGCAAACTTGTCCACTGTGTCTTACTTTACAAATTCTTGATGACATTCAATGTTCATGTTCATCAATTTGTTTCTGAATCAGTTCTAACTGGGACATCTTCTCCTTTGCTGTACATCGGAGGCTGTTTGATTTGGATATACAAGTTAATCTGCCAGTTGACTCGGCTTCCTCTGCAAAATTGTCTGCTGATTCTTGAAGACTTTTGATATCTGCTTGCAGTCTAGACTTCTTAGCTTTCAGTTCATCTATCTCATCAAACAGTCCTTTTCTTTTTCTTTCCTTCTTTTCCTTTTCACGTTTCTGCTCATCAAGATACATATGGTATTTTTGCCTACCTGCTGAAGCGGCTAACATGAGCTACTTGTCGATAATAATGTTCTAAATTCCTCCTACGTATTTGATATGATCATATATAGCCCTCAAAGATATTAGCGAGTGCATAGAAGATTTTCCTCTTCAACTTCTTTGTTGACGGAGAATCCTCTTTCAATAGAGGCTTGTCCATGGGACAAGACAAGCAACATGCGGACCACCTTTAATAAAGATGAATAGCGAGACTCAGACAGAAATGTGCACATCAGAGAGTCCAGTCTGTCTTTCTTCGGACCAAATTATCTCATCACATGCTTCTGAGTATTCTCTTAGGATGTCATCACATGAATCCTCAAGTCTGTTTGCATCAGTAAGGGAGCTAAGCATCCTTTTCAGCTTTGCAGTAGAGTTTTCTTTGTCTTTTGCCATGCTCTTTGGATTTAAGCATCCCATATTTCTCACAAGTGCATACTTAAGCGGACATCTGTCAATGAGCTTGCGGGTCATTGCAGCAAGAGAATCAAATTTACCGCTTTGATTTATGTTCTTTTTTCCCTCAAGGCTCATCTACTCTCATAATAAAGAGCTTCTTCAGGCCAAAAGGAGAATGTCCGTCAGTTTCTACCACTCAGTCTGCGGATGCAATGCCGAGTACTTGTGCTCCATCAACCTCCAAAGTGACATCTCCCATTCCTGTTGCTGCCAGAGAAGATACATTGAAAGCAGAAATACTCTGGTGCCTGAAAGTGGTTGAGGACCATTTATCATTTCATTCCTGTCAGCACAATAGCGACCTCTTTCAAAGAATGTTCCCAGATTCAGCGATTGTAAAAGGGTTCCAATTGTCAGAGACAAAATGCAGATACATGACTGTGTTTGGTTTGGGGCCATATGTGCAAGATCTCCTGTATGACAACATAAAGAAATCCTCCCGTTATGCCATCCTAAATGATGAAAGTCTTAATCAGAAACTGCAAAAAAAGCAAATGGACTTCCTCATAAGAATGTGGCAGCATAATGAAGTTCGCACTCGCTACTTGACATCAGTCTTCATAGGACATAGTACAGCTGTTTACCTCAAGGAAGAACTGAATAAGGTTCTTCACAGAGTAGGGTTGGAAAAATTATTGCAAATTAGTATGGATGGTCCGAATGTAAATTGGAAAATGTATGATGATTTGTCAAGAGAATACAAATCGGAAGTGAACTGTTCCGTACTCAACATGGGCTCGTGCGGGCTCCATATAGTTAATGGTGTTTTTCTAACAGGTGCCAAGGCTGCTGAGTGGGAGGTGGAAAGCTTCCTATCATCCTTGTATTATTTGTTTGCTGATGCCCCAGCCAGAAGAGAGGATTATGAGAAGATAACTGGAGATCATACCATGCCACTCAAGTTTTGCAAGACTCGATGGCTGGAAGATCTTCCCGTTGCAGAGAGAGCGATCAACATCTGGGAGACTATGTATGTATGTTAAGGCAGTTGAAGAGAAGAAAATCTCTTACCCAAAGAACAAGTCGTTTGAAACTGTTCAGAAGTATACCAAGATAGCTGATTTTTCAGCAAGACTGAGCTTTTTCATATCTGTGGCAAAGTTGGTCAATCCCTTTCTAACAGACTACCAAACTGATGCGCCAATGTTGCCCTTCTTAGCTGAAGAGCTAACCAGAATGCTTGCTTCCCTTATGCAGCGATTCTTAAAACTTGACAGGAGTACCCTTACTTCTCCTTACAAGATAATGCAGGTAGATATTAGCAGTGAGGCCATTCAGCTGCCTTTATCTAAGGTCGATATTGGATTCTACACTGAGAAAAAGCTAAAGGATCTGAAAGCAAAAAACATCATCAGTGAGCGAAGGATTCTGGAATTTCGCATCCAAGCAAAACAAGATATGAAACTGAAAAAAAAATCAAATGGGTACTACTGTAGTATTAAAATCCAATTTTGAGTTTTCTTAAGAATAAAAAATATCATAATTCTAGATTTTTTTCTCTTTTATAGTCTATAGTGTAT